TGAATTATATTACTCTGAAATTTGCTTAGTTATATTGTGGGATTTCAGTTGTGCTGGTGCAGTGAATTATTTAATGTAGCTCTTTTGGCCAAAGTCTGTAGCATTCACCAAATGACCTTTCCAGAAGCTGGCACAAGATACTGAGAAGATTCACCTGTGAGTAATCGCTACCCTGCTGTGCATTAAATAAGCCCTCTGAGAAGCAGGGGGAGGGATCTCATCACTGGCAAGGATGAGGAGTGGAGTGACTTCTTGGGCCCGGAGATGGCCATGCAGTGAAACTTCAGGATGCAGCTAACCACTACATATGTGGTGGAAACACAAAATCTCAGCAGGGGCCAAACCGGAATAAAGAGATTAGAAATCCTGATTAAATTTTGTATCTCTTTGCACCTCTTATACTTTAATATTTTAAATAAAATCCCTTGAAAGAGTTACATTTGTAAGTAGTATCAGGATTTTAAAGAGCAAATTTGATATCTGGAGTATCTGTTAACATGTACAGGAATGCTAAACAATGAAATCAAGTCCCTGGTGATGTCGTGGTGATGAGTTTGGCTGTAATTATCATGGTCAGCTGTTAGATAGTCTCCCTATCTGTATATGCTTTCTTTATATTTACAATGGCTTTCCCCCAGGTCTCTAGATCAAAAGTTCATTCCTCTGGGAACCATATATTATATGTTTTTACTACTTTTAGAAAAACTTTTATCCTTTTGTTTGTTACTTTTATGCCCTGTCTTTTCAGTAAGTGGATGAACATAATACCATAAGTTTTAGGTTTGCTTTTACCTTACCCCATTGTCCTCTTTAATAAACCCATTTACTATTTTCACTACTTATCTGCCAATCTCACAACCGGATCCTCACTTCAAACAAATCTTCCGATTCACTCTACCATCCAGTGGGGCCGTACAATTGTTAGACAGGGTGTAACTCAAAAGAGTTATTTTCTTACTGCCACATGATGGGTGCCGTTTGTTAGAGTAACCCAACCTCTAACATCCATGGGGTCAGTAGGAGCAATAGTATGTCAGTAATATATAAAGATCATAGTACAGTCATAGAAGATAGGAGAGGTAGGAGAGAAGATAAAATAAAGGAGTTGGAAACATTTTATGGTAGCATGCTCACCTCCCAGATGGTCATGATCTCAGCAGCCAGGTCTGCACAGAGAGCGGGTGGAGGAGAGGGGTGAGAAAACTTATTTATTTCTGACCAAGACCTATATATACTTGGGAGCATGCAAGCCCCCCTGATTACAGGTAACCACATACATAACAGGAAGGGGTTGTACCATAGGCAATACAGCAATGGGAGGGGGATGGTCTAAGGGTGTACACACACTAAGAAGAGGAGGGATTAGGGGTACACATGTGACAAGATGGGCAGATCCTAGATTCAAGATGGCAGCCTAACCTTGGTCATCTTTGAATTGGCTTAACCTATTCTGAGTTCTCCTGTAGGAGAAAGCAATACAGTATCCTTCTCAGGAGGGAGTGAGTCCCACCTATGGTGGGACAGACAATAGAGTCTGATTGCTCTATATGGCTGAATGCCTTCAGGGAGAATACCTCCAAGAAGCTGACCTCACAATGCCAGTGTAACAACCTGGGGAGACACCTTTCTGTATCCCACAGTCAGCAGTTCGAATCCACTAGCAGCTCCATTGGATAAAGACTGGGCTTTCTTCTCCTGTAACAGTTATAGTCTCCGTAATCCACAGGGGGTCAGTATGAGTCAGCATTGTGTCCCTGACAGAGAGGGCAGTGAGACTGAGATTAGAGTTCATTTTGACTAATTGCAAGTCTATCAGATGGAGCAGAACTGGCCTATGAGATTGAAAATCTGTGTGGAAGCAGACTTGTCCCATCTTTCTTCTGCGGAGTAATTTGTGGGCTTGAACCACCTACCTTTTGGTTAACCGCCATGTGTTTTCACCACCGGGTTTCATTTTAGATAAGAGAGATGATTCAAAAGTAATGTATTCTCATAGTTCCCTTATCACACACATCAATTTTACTTGCTAGAGATTTGGAAACTAGGAATTTTGCATAGTTCAGTTCATTTGTATTAGCTGTGATGTAAATGTACTACTTAACTTCTTACATCTGCATTATCATAAAAATGGAAAGTAATATCCTTAGAAGAAAAATGAAAGCTTAAAGCTCAAACTTAGAGGCCAATAAAATGAGCATATAGTCAAATAGAAAACAAAATTAAATATAGTGGTTAATGAAATAAAAACCACCCAAATAAAACATATTTAAGTAAATGAAAATGATCTAATTTATCGCAAACTCTGCACATTTCTAAACGAAGTCTTTTTCTCTTAGTCATTTTTTGAAAATAGCAATTTACTAATCAAGCATTCTATGCACCAGCAGCAGGCACGGATTAAAATGACGAGTTGGGAACTGCCGACATTTCCTTGATGGCTAGACCTTTTCGAACTCACTTCTCCCGACTGAGTGGGAGACAGAAGGTCGCTGTGGATCGACACTTCTTAGTGGAGGCAATGTCATTCTCTGAAGGCCATTTGGTGATGTCTAAATATTTCGGTGGTCCCAATGTGAGTGCTTTCAAAAAGGTCCCTGTGGTCAAGTCGATTTGGAATCACAGGTACCCTCTGGATGGAACAGAAGTGTTGCACAGGGTTTTCCAGCCTATGGATCTTTATGAGAATGGACAGCCTCATCTTCTCCCACAACAGAGCTGGTGGGTTCGTGATGAGCTGCCCAATCCTTAACTGATTGTGCCAACAGGAGACCCGAGATGATGCGAGAGGTGTAAGGGGTTGAGACTAAGAAAACAGAGAGATACCCTACACTGGAAAGGGCAGCCGCCCACAGAAAATAATTTAAAAGAAAATCCCTCAAAACTCATTGTTATTGACTGAATGCCGACCATGTGATCACAGCCAAACTATACCACCAGGGATACTTCAGGGCCTCTATTTGTGTGGGTGAAAACAAACAAACAAACAAGCGTCATCCTGAGAAGACCGAATGTAAGGCACATCAAAGATTATGAACTCGGAAGAGGACTTTCATATACCTGCATGGAATGGTAAATCCTAACGTACAAGTAATGCTCATCAAGATGTAGCCCCAAAAATCACAATAAAGTTGACTCTGACTCAACGTTGGCCACGTGCTTATTGTAGAACTGTCCCCCAGATGGTTTGCAATGCTGATTTTAATGGAAATAGTGTTTTCTCTCCAGGTGCCTCTATGCAGACTTGGACTTCCAACCTTTCCAATAGTTGTCAAGTATGTTAATAATTTTCATCACCCAGAGACTCCGTGAAAATATAAATCTCTTCCAAACTGGGCCCAAGGGTAAAAACAAAACAAAATATAGCCTCAATGGAATAAATCATCAATACCAGACCCATGTGTTGGTGAGTTGTATTACTTATGATTCCATGTGTTTTGCAGCTATTTATGCTAACACATGATGGGTAGCATTGAGAGAACAGGGATTTCAGAATACCTTTCAGGTGTTAAGGTAGAATGTGTACATAGACCAAGAGGCAGTCATTCTTACAGATTAAGGGAGTACTGTGTGATGTGAAATCAGAAAAAAGTATGCATCGGTGTTGTATCCTTTCACCAAACTTATTTGATCCATATGCTGAGCGAATCATTAAAGAAGCTGGTCTATGTGAAATGGAACATGATCTCAGGATTGGAGGAAGTCTCATTAATAGCTTTTAATATGCAGATGATACAACCTTACTTACTGACAGCGAGGAGAACTTAAAACACCTGCTGATGAAAATCAATGACTACACTCTTCAGTGTGGATTACAACTCAAGGTAGAGAAAACAAAAATGTTCACAAGCGGTCCATGAGGCAATAGTCTAATAAATGGAGAAGGGCCGAAGTTGTCAGGGATTTAATGTTCCTTGAATCAATATGAAATGCTCACAGAAGTAGCAGTCAAGAAACCATGTATTGTATTGCATTGAGTAAAATCTGCAACGACAAACATTTTTTACAGGGTTGAAGGGCCAGGGCATCACTTTGAAGACTAATGTGCACCTGACTCGAGTAGTTTTAATCATCTCTCATGAATGTGACAATTGGACAATGAAGAAGGAAGGCTGTAGAAGAATCGGTGCACTGGTATTATGGCACTTGTTAAGAACATTGAAAGTATCATGGATTTCCAGAACAACAACAACCAGGAGAGTACAGACAGAATGCTCATTCGAGACAAGGATAGAAAGATTTGTCTCACATAGTTTGGAAATGTGAGAAGAGAAGACGCCCTGAAAAGGGACATAGTGCTCGGGAAAGCAGAGGATCCGTGAACAATAGGAAGGCCCTCGCGGAGATGGACTAGCACAGTGGCTACAACAATGTCTCAAAGATAAAAATGATTGTGAGGGTGGCACCGGACCAAGTAGTATCTGGTTCTGTTGTAGAGCCACTATGAGTCAGAACCTATTTGACAGCGCTTCACAATGCAACATGCTACTGATAACATGTCATAAGCTATTTGAAGATTGTTCCAAGCTGTGGGTTTTGCAAATCATGGTTCTAGCTGCTCACAAAATGCCCTGACTTAAAACAAATCAGTCAGATAATATGAGGGGTCTTCCAAAATTTGGTGGGAAAATTGCATATTCTTTTCATTACTTTTTCCACAAACTTTTTGAAATCCCATCTTATAACTCAAAGACAATGTAACTAATTAGAACTCTCTTACAATTGCAGTTTCTAATCAGGTGCCCCAAGAAGGTTTAACAATGACCATTCCACTTACAGAATAATGTCTAGTTAGTGTCTTCTGGAATTTGAGTTTTTTCACATAACACATTTTTCCTCCTGAGATTCGGAAATAGCAGAAAGAGCTTTGGCTCAGTTCAATAGGGAATATGTGCTAGAAATATAACAAAAGTTCCCTCTGTTCATTATTTAATTTTCTAGTGATATTTATACTCCATAACAGGTAAAACTTGCTTGCTTCAAAAACTACCCAACACATGCACTTAAATATGTAGAATTTCATTTAAATAAGTCAGTCAACAATTTTTTATAAAGTATTTAACACTTCATTGTAGAAACATAGGCAAAATGACTATTATAACCAAAATGAAAAATACTGTTCAATTTAAAAAATGTACTTAAACAAGAACCTGAAAAGGTTTATGATATGCATAACATTGTTCAAGCAAAATTGCACTAGGATTACATAAATCAATAGTTTATAAAGGCCTCAATATGGCAAAGTTTAGAAATAGGTAGTATGCATGCACATAGTACAACCAAAAAAAGTCTCTTTATAAAACAACATATTTTTTCTCTTTTTTCTTTTTAATGCTTGTACAAAGGGATAAAGAGCAACCACAAACATATTTCATCTGTTAGGTTAATACCTTTTGACCGCTAAGAGTCAGCCATGTATGTCTATTGGAGGGACAAAAAGCCCTCCATACCTGTGAATACATCTTTTGTGCCTTTAAAGATATTTGTATAAAAATGCTATTCTTATTTTTAATACAGCTTAAATCAATTGTATTTCTTTCAAAATTTGAAGAAAAAGAAAGAAAAAGTGAGTGGTGTCCACGTGTTTTGGGTAATCAAAGGGAACCAGAGTACCAGGGTGATGGTGGTCACATTTTACGCTCCACCTCTGATTGTGGGCATGCTGAATGTTCTATCCCAGTAAGACGGTTCTTTTGGCGTATATCTAGGGGAGGCCAGATAACGGATTCGTCCTTTTGTATCTTGAAAATTTCACCAACAACTCTACACCAAAATGGCCGGTTTGCCTTTTCCCTTAGACCTAACCAAGAGAATGACTTTGTATGATTGAAATTCTCCTCACTTTGTGTGCTTATGTATCGCTCTTTAGTTTCAGTGTGGTAAAAGTTTGAGTTCATCTTCCACAAATTGCATCTGACTAGGAGGGACTACCTAAGCTGTGAGAACCCATTGAATGCCCTTTTGTGCTCTTGACTGGGCTACTGGCTCTGGGTTGAAGGAGAGTAAAAAGTCTTATCCCACAACAAGTGTTGGTCTTTTCACTTCGGGAGATATTTTTGTTATCTTCTACCACTAAATGTAACTATTGATTACAGGGCATATATATTTGGTATACCATGTAGAGTCTATGAGGTTTTGCAAAACAGCAGTTTCTGTTCATGCAAATTATTAGTTTTATATGTTTTAAAAGGTTTTCCTCAAAAATCTTGTCTATCGTTTGGTAATCTAAGGCTAAATTCAAAGCTGGTAATGCTGAACTTGTGAGGGCTATCGATTTTCAGTAGTCTGGATCAATTTTACTGGGCACAAAGAAGAGAATTGATCATTTATTCTTCCATCCATTTAACCAGAAAAATAAGTGTTATATGACAGCTTCCAGACTGTATCATGAAAAAGTGCCGAGATCTCTTTGTGACATAGAACCCATAAAGTCCATATAAAAGAGATTGTTTATATTCACACTACAAAGGAATACATTATTTTTAATATTAACAAATTCAAAGGTGTGTCCTATCAGCAGCATTGTTGTAAATTGTACTGTAGTGCAGTTCTTTTTCATAAAAATACCATACAAATGGTCAATCAAGAGTCATCAGCAAAAAATAGAAGCCAGAAAACAATTAACCAGGGTAGAGACAAAAAGGGAGGGAGAAAAAAGAAAGAGATAATGCTGATGCCAACACAAGTATAATACTGTTGGAACATACAAAAGTAATCCTTATATTTTATACATTTATACAGCATATAAAAGTTTTGCCGATTATGCCACTGTCTCTCTTAATCCAATTTCTATTTTCTTTGGAAGTAATTCTTTCCTTTCATCAACACTTCCTAAGGAGTTTCGACAGTTTTGCCCATCCATATATAATTTTGCATACACTGGATTGGAGTAATTTGCTGGCTAAAGGAGAAAAAAATGGAGAAAACAATATAATGTTACTAGCAGTCCTGAACCCACTAATTAGTTTTTTTTTAGAATATCTAGCCTTTAATCATAAGAATGCATATATGAAATACATTTCATTTACTAAGTGATAAATATCTAAATGCAAATCAAGTGCTATATTTACAGGCTTTAGTAGATTTTGGATGAAATGGCTTCAGATGAAAACATAAGTTCAAGTTTTTCAGATAACTTGTGAACCTGAGAGGCCTTTGATATAATAGGAGAAACAAAAACATACTTTTGTGAAAATTATTTTCCTTGAGAATTTATTGAAAAGCATAAGCAGTTAAACTAAATTCCTAGAGTTTCGGTAGGTAGATTTCCCCCTATGTCGACAGCTTATCATTGGCAAAGTGAAATATTCATAGAAAGTTATGTAATTCCCTCTTGGTTACACTTTTTCAGCATGAGGTTAGAAACAAGGAAACCAAAAAAATTTATAAAGTAAACCTACATTGCGGAAGTAGCCTTTTAGACAAAGAATAATATTTTTGCTTCAAGTAACCTATGCATACCTATTGGAAATATTTTGACTCATTCTATAAATTGTAACAAACACAATCATGAGAAGTTTCATAGATATTTGTTGCATTGTGAAGAAACTGTGAGAAATATGGCCAGGACCTCATGCAGTCGACCAGTTTATATAATGGTCATTACTTTCAGAGATGCAGTGTCACTCTAAAACGCATCGTCTTGTGTTTTATTTTGCTTTTTGTTTCATTAGCAGTACATTAAATCTTAGATACAAGAAAGAAATATTATACAATTTTTGTCATGCAAATGACACAAACATGCAAACAAATGAGAATGAAAACCAGTTTATGGGAGTGATTCAGGGGAGAGAGTAGTTATCCTTAGGAATTCTTTGGCCTAAAATGAACCATGCAATTTCAGATGGAGGATCTTTCTCTGAGCCCAAGGCATTTAATTTTTATATAAAAAATGCTTAATTTGATATTTTCTAATTTCCCAATATGATACCACATTGTCAAGTATTTTTTAAATGAAAAGCACATCAAACTTGTATCTATTAAATAAAGCTTCTCAACAGGGAAATTTCTAAAATTAAACAAATCTCTATGGAAATCCTTCAGCTTACACTTCTGGCCATAAAAGCTTCTTTTGAAATACTTTCCATAAAATATTTCATGATCCTCGCAATGGGGCTATACTATTTTCCAATGAAGTAGAAGGTCTATTTCTACCTAGTAGCTTGTCCTAAAGGTGGGGTGGTTTTTTGTGTGTTCTAAGACAGGCACAGGCCTGTCCCACAATACGAGTACTTGATAGAAACGCTGTTTTGAAATCACAAATTAATTAAAAACTCAACTGTAAGAAAGTCTCTACCTCGCTGGCCTAACCAGCCTTTGATTGTGAGGGGCTCTGGGATGGAATGGATATGGAGTAATGAATATCTTCTCTCACCCCAGCAGTTAGTGGTCCTTTCAGATCAGAGTTTAGGTAGATGGGCTGCGCCGTGTGGGGTGGCTTGAAAGCAGAGGACCCTCCCCCTCTATACCTAGTCTGCATGTAAACAGAGAATTGTAGTTTCTGATCGAATGCCATGAAATCATTTGTCATTGACATAATCTCATTATAAATTATGACAGATCACATAAACACCCCTCTTTAGACGTGGGCATGAACTCAGCATTCATGTTAGGATTAACAAGTGAGAAAAGAAAGAAACAAAAAGGTTAACATTGGATTTTTGCCTCCTTGGTAGAAGTTTCTATTCTGGTCAGTTCACTAGTATACATGCTATGTTCCTAGAACTTACCATTCTTGTTTGCTTATTCAATATCATCCTCCACAAAGAAATACTATCGTTGTTCACTGGAGTGTGAAAACTGTGTCAGCCTCTCTAATTAATGTTTCATCACATTGGAGAATTCTAACAATAGCCTGTTCTGGATGCTTCAGTATCTGGCTGCTTATCATTAAAGAACGATTCATAACGGTTTTCTATATTTATAACAAAAAAATGAAATTTTAAAGTTGATATATCAAAACAAATGTACCTGAGTTTTTGGAAATCGGGTTCCAGGTTCTAAGACATACTAATCAGCAATTATATTGATTTGCTAAGTCTCTAAGTAAGTTCAGTGAATAACCCTGCTTGGGTCTGATGGCAGACTTAGCACACCTAGTGCACTCATATTCACATATTTCCATTACAAGTAATAAAAGTTAGGCAATATTTATTAATCTGAAAATGTTCACAGATATATAGAGAGCCATATACATATAAAACTCTTTTCTATTTACTCTTAACCGTGAACAATCATAAAGTTTGGACCAAAACTCCTTAACACATATTTTTAATGGAAAATCAACTCAATGTTTCCTCTTTATTCTCTTCCATAAAATTTTCATTTGAAAAATATTGGAAACAATCCATGTAAGGATTTGGAATCAAATCATTAAATATTAATTCCTTCTTTTTCTAACCTTCAAAGGATTATTTATATATCTTTCTAGTCAAACTGATTCTATTAACTCTATGAAGTATTTAATTATTTTAATTATACAATATCACTAATGAGATTATAAATTTCATCCATTTTGAAAATAATAAAAAAAATTTTTTTTCTACAAAAACTTATTTATATGTAATGCAATCTATATTGGACAACATGATATCTATCACATCAAATCACAAGACAGTGCATATTTCAACTCTAAGATATATTTGATAATCAAGATTGCTCCCACATGATCCTCCTCTCCTCACAGTCATCACTGCTTCTTAGGTAAAAACATGTATTTCTGTTTTTAAAATATCAGGGACTAGACTGAATCAGCGTACCATGTCACATGTTGGCTACTTGCAGTTAGTCAACAGATTGGAAAATAAATACTTATTGAGCATTGTGTGCTAAGAACATGAAAGTATATTTAAAACACTTCATATTTTCTTTTTAGAAGAATTAAAATTAAAAAACAACTAAATATAGTACAGAAAACTATTCATTGTAAGTATCCAAAAATTAGTATAATGGGGAAATAATCTCTGCGTATGAAAAGTGCATGAAGTATGCCTACATTAGTTTTTTTAAAATAATTATGCATACAGTATTTTATCCCTCAGACAAATGCAAAGAATTTGAGCAATGAATTTTGAATCTCTCTCCACTACAGATTATAGAACAATCATGTAGTCTTTTAATTTATATAGTCTCTCAATAAAAATTGTTTTATTTTTTTTTAATTTCAAGTAGAGAATATAAATCTGAAGTTAACCAGAATCTATTTTATGAAAAAGTTTAGATGTAGGAGGTAGTTACCGAATTGGTAATTATTAGTAAAAGTCCCCTTTTAAGGGAAAAATGAAACAAAACAAGACAAAATTACAATGTGTTCTAAAGGTATAAAATTCATCCATGCAATAATTGGTTTCTTTTCATAGAAATAAATAGTTGACCATTGATGAATCAATTTCAGACATAGAAAGTATAGTCAAAGATCCAGAACTGGGTGAATATGTGGTGCATAAGAAATTGTTGCTATAACAGTAAAAATATATGACTATAAATTTAGCATTATGATTATTTACCAAATAAAAAATGCATTTGGGGTAAGTACCTTTAATGTAAAAAATGTTCAATAAATGATAAATGCTGTGAACCATTTTCTAGCAAATGCACATTCAAAGTAAAGAGTAAAATGTCCTAAAATTATAATATAAAATGTCTAGGTAACTCAATGAAATGAATATTTAAGGTTAACTCATCTGGATAATTGTATAACATATATTATTCTTAAATCATGCCAACCATAGCATACAATTATAAGAACTAGCAGAGACTTTAAAGGAGTATGGATTCATAAGCTGTATATACCAAGGATATGCTTCATGTTAGTACCCCAAACCAAAACCAGCTCACAGCTACCGAGTCAATGCTGACTCATAGTGAGCCCTTGTGGGTTTCCTAGACAGTCACTGTTTACGGGAGTAAAAAGCCCAGTCTTTCTCTCTCAGAGCCGCTGGTGGTTTCAAACTAGCGACCATAAGGATTACACCCCATTGCATAGCCACTACTGCACCATAGCAAGCACATAATAGCAAATAGAAATATATTTCTAAAAGAGAATCTGATTAAACTCAAACATTAGGGCATAGCTAAGGTGGCTCTTCAAAAAAAGGAACACTATTAAAAATAAGCACTTACTTAGACAAAAAGATGTTCTTTTTAGTATTGAAAAAAGAAATCAGCTAACTTTTTACACTGGACTGAATTTTTAGATAGGCTAATGCCTCAACACATATGAAGAAGAAATAAACTCAACAAGCTTATTAAATAATTGAATACATAACAATTATTTACTTTTGTTGCTTATTATTTAAGCCTGTGTTGGCTTAGGTATACTATATTAATTTATGAGGTCCAGGATTTTACTTGATTTTTCTTGATCAGAGGCGTTAAACCCAAGGCATCCTAAATCTTTTCCCGTATCTTAAGACAAAGAAAATCATGATGAAATTCAAAATTATATAACAGAGAAATGACTCAAGAATGTTCATGCTTTTGTCCAGTGTTGTGAGAGACGTACCTTTGTAGGATCTACTATAAAACTGGGATCCAAAAGTCCTCCATCGTTATGATCATGATCCACCTCATACATGTTATATGATGGATTGCCGATTTCTAAATTTATTCCTCCATTGATAATCGGTTGTCTTCGAATTGTTTTTGTCCTAGAAAATGTGAGTGTCTTACTTCTACTTCATACACAATCAAGCAATGATATTACAAAATTTATACATACATCAGATTTTTAATATGAAAATTTGCAAATAAAATACATTTGAAATAAACTTAATATGCTATCAGGTCATAAGTGGTCAAAAAGTTTTAAGTTGATTAGTAATTTTTATACCTTATGTATACATATTTCTATTAAATAGATAATATTGCAGGAGTGGAAATTCAATATCTACTATTCAGTTAGCTTGTTAAACCCCACATTTGCCCTTTATGGGAGACATCATTCACAAGATAGTAATAAACAAATTATTAATTGGAATATTTGAAGTCCTCAGTGTACAATACTAGAGTCTTGCTTTATATCATTTAAGTACTGCGATACTCAGCTCCAGTTCCTCCTGGATAATAACTGTGCAGAAAACCCACTCCACGTAGAACTTTACAACGGCATAGCAATATGGTAATACGTGTAGTGAGAGATAAACAAGTGTATATATGATCATGAAAATCTACAGGCGTTACCACATAGGGCTAAGGAAAAACTGTTCCTACAAATTTATACAGCTCATGATGACACACTAAAATAAAAATATGAACCTATTGTCTGTCAGCGTGTGTTCCAGCTGGGTCGTTAGATTTCTGCGAGTATTGTTTCCATCTTTCTCATTCTCCTCCAATGAGGACTGTACCCTTCCGTTTACATCAGATAAAAAAAATGACTGTTTCACTCACTGCTAGGGAGGCAAGTCATGTTTAGTTTACCAATCTATGGATTTGAGGAATACAGAGCTACCCAGAGGAGGAAGATAAGGGCATTAGACGGGATGGGCAGGTTTCTCAGTGAAAGTCTCATAGGCTAACCATTGCTTCCCTTGAAGAATGACCACAGACATATTTGTAAGGGGAAACAAAATCTCGGGGCAACTTTTTTGGCCATTTTTTCACCAATGCAGTTTTCAATTTTCATAGGTTTAATAATAAGTTCTTGGGATCATTCCTTGCCCTTCAAGAAAATAGATCAAGGTATTCCTTGAGGAATCCCGAAAAAGCAGTCACTCTAACCTTCTGAACTGACCTCTCTGCCCCAAATTGAATAGGTTCAGCACATTGCCTCAGGAGCCACTGTTTTGAATGGATTTTCTTTGAAGTCCCCTAAGGAGTTCTGGTGGCTTTGTGGTTACATATGGGGATGGTAACCATAAGGTTAGCAGTTTGAAGCAACAACTTCTCTGAGGGAGGAAGATGCAGTTTTCTACTCCCATAAAGACTTAGAGGCTCAGACACTCAGGACAGTTCCATCCTGTCTTCTAGGGTTGTAGTGAGTTCTACACCAATTCTCGATGGCATTGAGTTTGGTTTGGGGGAATCACAGTCCCAAGGGTAACCACTATGCCACTGCTCCATAGCTAGCTTGGTTTTTTGGAAGTGACTAAGGCAAGCATATTATAGAGAGAACTTGTCAGCAGCCGTCCACTGATGGTAGACACATGTTTTAAGCATGTTTTATTTGGAAAACACTGATAAATGTATGAACTGGAAATCTAGTAGCAGTACGATTTTTACTTACCCTTCTGTATATGTATGTATGTATGTATGTATTTTTATGTGTATATAGGTATAGTATTACTTATGGCACTTGAAATTACTCATTGATTAATTTAATAAGATTTTCCTTAGATACCATTGCTGTTTCATGGAAGGACTACTGCACTTGTAAAATTTTATAGAAATCTCAATATTTTGTGATACTTTTAGTTTTGCTAAAATAAATTAACAGTCATTCTATCAATATGACAATATGGTTGCCTAAAATTACAGTCACTATAATAAGATAGTGGAATAAAATAGTTTTACAACAAGATTTTAAAGTATGTATAGTTAAACCATGATTTAAGAAATTAGAAAACTAAATTCATATTTATGCAATTCTCTGATTCACATTACATGAATGTAGTATCTTACCTTCTTTTTCTTTTACAGAGCACTAACCCAATGACTAACGTGGTTATCAAAGTCACCAAGAGGACAAGAGGCACAATAATGGCGATGCTTCCTGGAAAATAGATAAATAAATATAAGATGACAGAAATAAAATGAAGAGGTTTTGCTTTAAATTCAATTAGAGCTTAATACAACTGAATGTGCTGCTACCACAGACCATGTGACCATTTCCATACGAAAAGTTAAGCTTAGCCATATGCCCTTTTCCATTTTACTATATACTGATATGTATACTTATGTCTTTATATATGTAGTTATATAGATTTCACATATTATATATTTGATCTAATACTGAAGATCTTCTATTGAATGTTTGACTATTTGGAAATGTTTCTTTTCATTTTAAAATTTAAATTCCAAGTCCTCTAACTTCTCTCTTCCCCTGACAAATATACACTCACTTTTAAGGATATAGCACTATCCCTAACACAAAAATATCAATCATCTGTGACTAAATAGACATTTAGATATTTCATTGTCTACATTCTCACTTTCAGTTTTGTAGCCTTAGCTACAAACATTTACTGGGAAAATCCATGTAGCCAAATAGATGGCAGTTTTTCAAAATAAAAGCACATTATTTTTTTATTTGGAGGAACATAGGCCTAAACATGCAAAGCAGAGGATTAGCAAAAATAAGGGTATCCTCTGATAAGATTAATTGACATGATAAACACAGTAATGCACTCAAAAACATCAAGGATTTTGAAGTTGGCACAGGACCAAAGTAATGTCACACATAGAGTTGAATGAGTCACCCTGGTCAGCAACTGTAAACATGAATAGGCTTCAACATGGGTTTCTGGACTTACACACAGTAAGGCCTAGAGCAGGAGCCTCAGTTTGAGGGGTTCTTCTGGTTCTCCAACAGAAAAGATACAAAAAGAACTATCACTTAGATCTGATGGCTTGACACAACAGAAGGGGATTTTCTTTCTAAAGTTCCAAATCCAGAATTATGAACAAAAACAAAACAACAACAACAAAACCCCACTGACGTTCAGCCAATGCTGACTCATAGTGACGCTGGTGGGTTTCCAAGACAGTAACTGTTTATGGGAGCAGAAAGCCCAGTCTCTCCCACGAAGCCACCCCACCACCAGGGCTTCCTAGCAAAATTTACTTTGGGGGATTGGCCTATGTTACAAATGTCTATTGTCTCCTTGTTTCGTATGTATAAGAATGATCTTTGGTTCATCCCTAAAGGGATAGATGGTCAAGAGTAAGCAGATAAACTAGATCTTAGTTTTTATGCTTGGGGAATATAGAAGAGGCAAAATTGAAGAGGCCCTTGGTCTAACCCTACCTTGGCAGGAAGAGGTCCTGGTTTTTTTTTTGCCAAGAAGTAAAGAGACAATATTAGCCCATTGCTGGTAACTAGACTACCCAGAAGTTACAGAGTTATATATCAGTAATGACAGGATGAAAACTGAACGTGTGAGATGCTGGCATGGGAGATTATTCAGTACTTCAGTTACCCTGGTGAAGCTATGGGTTAGGTGTTCAACTGAAAAATGAGCCATGAGACTACTTGCTAAGAATTTGCATTCCTGAAAAACCTAAATTGGGTAACTGTGAGTCAGAAGTGAGCCGATGGCATTGGTTGATTTAGTAATTAATATAAGCGTTTTCTAGTAAAGGATCCAGAGGACACGTTGAGCTAAGTCTTTCTAAGCAAGGTAGGGTCAATATGAGTACGGATTGACTCGATGGCTCTGGTTTGGTTTCTTTGATTTTTTAATAAGTGATGATTTACTGATCATGAGACAAAGACCTTGTCTAATTTCAACATTTGGTTGTTTACAGTCAAACCAGTTTAATCAGTGGCTAATCAAAGAAATACATTATTCTGCTAATAAATGTACATGAAATATTATAGAAATTCAAATCAGTGGTAATATTAGACATAGTAAGCATCTACTTAGTTTTAATAATCATGGATCAATTCTGAAAGCTTACTAAACATCAAAAAATGTTATTTAGGAACTTTCATGTAAGTGATCATATTTTGAAGTTTGAACTTCAAAACTACTTTGTTGAAAGTAACCAAGTAACTTTAATATTCAAAATAAAAATATGTCCCTTCTTTTTTAACCAATTTATAAAATGAAAAACTCACTTTTAATTATTTCATAGTATTAGTCTCAAAACTAACTACTGCCATTGAATCAATACTGACTCATAGTGACTCTATATGACAGGGTAGACCTGCCCCTGGGAGTTCCCAAGTCTATAGCTCTCTATGGGAGTAGAAAGCCCCATCTTTCTCCTGTAGAGTAGCTGCTATTTTTGAACTGCAGGCCTGAGGATCACTGCGCAATGCATAATTACTATGCCACCAGGGTGAATTTGATATTTAACTACCTTCCTGGGCTTTTAGAAAATGAAACCTATATGAATGTGTAATACTTGTAATTGATTTATGTAGAAATTCTGGTGCATTGAATAGCAATTATTCAGCATTTATTCTCCAAATTTAAATATCTGAGAGGAGCTTTTTGACTCATAAACTATGACTTAAAGTCATTGATCATGAATGAATAAAACTTTCCCTTCATTAAAATTTCTTTTTTACTGAAAAATATGTCTTCAAAAATATCTAACAACAATCCTTTTATGGTATATAAAATTATATTTTCCTCAATTAAATTACAGATTACTTAGAAATTAGACTTCTTTTGGTCCATATATTTATTTCATTCCTATAAGCTATAATTTTTCATGCTAAACAACAAAGTATTATGTCTTTTTAATTATTTTATTTATTTATTGTGAAAAGCAGTTCCAACATTATTTCTTACAACAAACTGCTTAAAAGTCTAAATTTCTCGTAAGTTTATACCACCAATCAAGGTACTGCTTTGATGTTTAGTTTTGATAATAAATAATGCAGGATAACCATTTTTAAGGTAGTCCTTTATTTTAATTTTAACAGCTTTATTGACATATGTCACATGTCATACAATTTAATGTTTAAGTATGTTGAAGAGAGTTGTGCATTCGTCACTCCAATCAATTTGAGAACATTTCCTTCCTTCCTGAATCCATGAGAATAGCTGTCCTACCTTATTTAGATGGCTGCTTGCTTTAAAACAAGCCTTTAAGACACCAGATGCTATTCTTTCTGAAAGCTGGCATAGAAGATAGTTTTTTGTTTCTGTTTTTGTAAACTATTTTAAACTTTTGAAAATATTAAGCAACTGAATTTTTTAATCAAAAGCATTTAGCAAATAATGTGTTTTACAAGTAGTTTCTATACCAGTATTAACTTATTGAAACATAAAAATCAAGATATTTGCATATGATTTCCTAATAGTATATTATTGATTTATTATTAAAAACAAGGGCTCAAGCAGAAAGCAAATGTTTTGAGAATAATGATGGCAACAAAGGTACAAATGTGCTTGACACAAGGGATGCATGTATGGACTGTGAAAAGAATTGTATGAGGCCCCAATAAAATGATTTAAAACAAATTATACCCTGTACTTTAAGAGTGAAGATGTTCCAACAACTTTCTCATATAAAATAGAAGCCGTTCAACCAGTTTATCTTTATAATATGGTTTAGAAGCTCCATTCTGCAACACTTTGGCATTAGAAAGAAGAGCTATATTGTCAAAGGCCTATTTTGAAGAGGCTCCTACTATGTGAGAGTGAGGGTAGCGTCACAGTTGAGGGAATAGGCTCTAGATTCTCCCTGCTGTTTCTTACAGTAACCTATTATTGTGCAACAGCAACCTATTATTGTGTGTTTTTTTATATGTAGAATGGGCATCATCACGAATATCTTCCTCGGCATGCTATCCTAAGGATTGTGCTTATTACATACAAAGTGAACATAACTTTATGAAATAATTAAAGTCCTTGTGGGACTTGTGCATATTGCTATTTTGCATTTTTTACAATAAATCCCTAGAATCAGTTTGTTTGCTTTCTTGCTTATTCCTAGAATTTCTACTTCGTGAAAAGGGAAATCTCTTTTTTTATTTGCCGACAAATCCCTGGAAACTAGAACAATACTTGGCACTCAAAAAAGGCCTAATAAAGTTTGATTGAGTAAAATGAATGAAGGTAGGAAATAATATGAACTTGTATGATAAATGTTGGACTCTCCTCCACAAGGGACAGAGAGGTGTCTTGTGCAAGGACCCAAAGTTGGGGAGACAGTATGTTTATGTCCTCTCCATCCACTTATGTTTGCCTCAGTGTATTTTCTCTCTAGACGACTTTCAGAGGGTTGACTTATTTTAGAAGTCTTCGGGAAAATGGGTACATAAGTACTGTTTTGGAGCTTCCCCACCCCTCCCCCAGTTATCCATGTATTTGTGACATTTATTATTCCTGGCATCATATAAGTAGGTACATATGTGCTAAAGCATGATGATATAAACAAGATAAGAGTCAGTCATGGAACGAGGAGGCCAGGATAAAGATACCACACTGGCAGATTTCACCTCTCTGCTTCAGGTTAGTAAAATAAAGCATCTTTGAAATAATGCTCCAGAAATGCTTAGGATGTATTTTCTCCTTAATTTACAAATAGGAGAATTCATAATCAACATTTGTTCTCTTTAAATTTTATGTCAATTTAAAATCAGAGCATATAATGAGTGTTTCATCATTCTGAATTTAAAACTCCTCAAAATAACGCCAGTAGAGTCAAATGTTACTTCTTCAAGTACAACTCAAGCAGAAAACCCTAGGACAGTGGTTCTCAACCTTCCAATGCCGTGACCCTTTCACACAGTTCCTCATGTTGTGGTGACCCCCCCAACCATAAAATTATTTTCAAAAAAAAAATATTTTCGTTGCTACTTCATAACTGTAATTTTGCTACTGTTATGAATCAGGTGACCCCTGTGAAAGGGGGGTTCGACCCCCATGGGGTCGCGACCCACAGGTTGAGAACAGCTGCCCCAGGATAACAGATCTGTCTAATTCCCTAGGTTGACTTTTAGCTACTGGAGGGAGCCAAGAGCAGTAAACATCGGTACCACTCGCAGAACTCATAAAGAAAACAGTGCATGAATTAGAAAGGTAAATCATTGAC